TTTTGGACCGCATTTAGAAGAATAGAAAATGTATAGAATAAATGAGGCATTTCTATGTTTTACAATTGACAGCGTCAGGTTGTTAAGAATAATATGTATAATTTAGAGTATAAATTTTGGCCAAGTCAATTAAGAAGAATTGATTTTTCTACTTTTTTTTGCTTCATCGAGGAATTGAATAAAAACGTGAATGCTCCCATTCAAAAGAATTGGAACTCTGAGTTCTTTTCAATTATTCGCCTCTTACCAGGAAATTATTTTTGTACTTGAATATTCTGTAAAATAGAATTTTAATAATACTAGTCAATATATGAGACCTGAACTATTTATTTATATTATATGGAAATATTTCCATATGCTTAAGAAAATTCTGGTAAAAAATTGAGTGCTGATTAAGTATTAGCATTGTATAAATTACATTAGTTTGTTAAAAAAATTTGCTATATCAACATTGTTACTTAATTTATTTTCGAAAAAATTGGAATGTATGCAGAATTCACTTGATTGAAATTTAAGTTCATGTCCATGTCATTCTAAATTAAAATGTCGAAGTTAATAAATTTCACATTAAAACTAGGTATTAAAATTCATATACCATTTTTGTGTTGTAAAGATGAAAAAATTTTGTAATTTTTATTTATTAACACAATTAATCATTTAAAACTATTTAAATTGACAAAATTATTAATTGATATCATTAATGTTCATAAAAATATATATATACGATAATATACTCTTTGTAATAATGAACATCTGAAAAGCTGTTTGATGACTTAACAAAATAATATAAGTATCTGTTTAATGTGTTCGTTATAAGAGACATTTTCTCAAAAATTTTTATAACCTCCCCTGGTCGAGTGCGTTAAGGCGCTCCCAGTGCGGTTGAGAGTTATGATGGTCGAGGGTTCGAGTCTCAGAGTCAACTCATCGGAAAATCCTAGTTTGAGAGATGAATAATCATTTTTTCTATTTTTTTCTATTCCCAGAACATATAAGTCAATAGAAAAGAATTCAAACTTCTTATTCTTCTTAATGCGCAAAGTTTCATATTTTCAAATTTTTGGTAGCGAATAGAGAAAAATTAAATGTTTGGAGAGTAAATTTTAAATATCTATTCCTTTCAATCGACAGTATCAAAATTTCTGAAGCGCATTGAAAGGAATAAGAAATTTGGAGAGTGAAGTGGATATGTCTATTCCTTTTAATTGACTGTGTCATTTTGGCCAAGTCAATTAAGAAGAATAGATTTTTCTACTTTTTTTTGCTTCATCGAGGAATTGAATAAAAACGTAAAATCACCCATTCAAAGGAATTCAGATTCTGAATTCTTTTCAATTCTTCGCTTCTTACCGGGGTCCCCACTATGCAAAATAAATATGTACCGAGTTTTCCGACAGCCTTTCAATTTGGTAGGTTAGCGATACTAGCGCGATTACCGGGGAAATTGTTGCAACTCAACTGGATAATGGCGGAAATGTATGTTTATTGAGAGAGATTTGTCGTCTGCACTCGACTCTTCACGAGCAGATACGAATCATCACGAAACATACATTTCCGCCATTATCCAGTTGAGTTGCAACAATTTCCCCGGTAATCGCGCTAGTATCGCTATCCTACCAAATTGAAAGTCTGGTCGGAAAACTCGGAACATGTTTTTCCTGAAATTGCCTATGCAGTGGGGGCTCCTTATACTACTTCGTGCACACATGCAATGAATTTAATATTTGTAATATATAAATATAGTAATAAAAAAATATACAATTAATAAGATGAACTATCAATACAAATTTTTTTTTTATATTTTTTATTGACATTATAATAAAAGTTTTTCATCATTTTGATTTCACAATATATTAAAAAGGTATTTTCATGAACATAACCTTACAATATTTTTACATTTCATCACTGTAAAAAAAATTTTGTGTCGATTTACACGCCGAATGTAAAATAACTTATTCAACAATGTTAATTTATTATGCTTTTACTATACTATTTTAATGTTATTTTCAGAATTAAATTCAGATTAGAGTATTTAGATTATAGTGTTTAAAATGTTTGTAGAGTCTTAAATGTTTTTTTTCTTCTAATAAGAAATCTGTTTGTCAGGGAAAAAGTTATTATTTACATGGAAAAATGGAGAATTCAGGAAATTGGATTACAAAAATATTATGGCAACGCATAAAGAAATTAACTTTTTAAAGAATTATCACATATAGTAATTATATTCAATGAATTTTAGACGAAAAAATTCATTCATAAAATATTAAACTTTGAAAATTATCTGCATTTTCTAATATTAAAATAAGCAAAAAATATTGTAAGGTTATGTTCATGACAATACCTTTTTAATATATTGTGAAATCAAAATGATGAAAAACTTTTCCCAAGTAGCACGATATATCAACCAGATGTTACGGCGATATCACCGGGGAATGTCACCGTGACATCAGGAAAATGTCAAAATGTCCGCCTTACGGTGATATCACACGGTGACATCGTGGTGATATCATGGTGACATCAAGGTGATAACACAGTCATATCACAGTGATATCATGGTGATATCACCGTGATATCATGTTGATATTTTACAGGGATTTAAAATTTTTTAAAAATTATTATTTTTTACTATTTTTTTTATTATTTTTATTATTTTTTTTATTTATTATTATTTTCTAAATTATTAAAAATTTTAAGTCCCTGTAAAATATCAACATGATATCACGGTGATATCACCATGATATCACCGTGATATGACTGTGATATCACCTTGATGTCACCATGATATCACCTCGATGTCACCGTGTGATATCACCGTAAGGCGGACATTTTGACATTTTCCTGATGTCACGGTGACATTCCCCGGTGATATCACCGTGACATCTGGTTGATATATCGTGCTACTTGGGTTATTATAATGTCAATAAAAAACAAAAAAAATTTTGTATTGACAGTTCATCTCATTTATTGTATATTTATTACTATATTTATATATTACAAATATAAAATTCATTGCATGTGTGTATTATTCGGGGAAAAAAAATTTGTTGTTTATAAAAGAAAAATTTAATTTAATTTATATTTTTCTTCTCTTTAAAAAACGATGAGACGGCGGCAACATCAACAACAACAATAAATAATTTATTAAACTTTACAGCGTGTTTACAGCTTTAAAGGTACATAACCTCAACTATGTATTTCGTGAGCACGAGATCACGCACAATTTTTTTTTTCATTTTCAACTCGGCGACAGTTGGCAACACCATGCGTGCGCAACCAACTCCAACCGACTTGGACTTGGACTTGGAATTGCCAAACGGAGCTATTGTAGAAGCTCCTTATATAATAGTATTGGGAACGGTGGTCTAGTAACAATCTAGTAACTTTGACCCATTCTCTCCCTCCATTTTGTTATTTCAACTCTTTCTAACCTATTAGTTGAAGAGAGACAAAGAAAGAAAATGGAGGGAGAGAATGGGTCCCCACCAGATGGCGTATTGCAGTTTAGCCGATCCCAATATGGAGATTGGAGATGGACCAGAGTTCGCTACTAAAATTACTTTATATAATAATTTAAAGTAAAACGTCTGAAATGTGACATTTTTGGGGAGTTTTTCTCAATTGATAGACCTTTTCATGCTAAACGTTCTGTCCTTATCTAGAGCATACAATGACGCATGAGTTAGAAGAAGACAAAATGATCATAATGAAAAGGTCTATAGACCTAAAAGGTCTAAGCAGAATATGTAGCTTCGCGAACGACTTTTGTGAATCTCTTGTGCGTTGGCCTTTAGAAAAGGACAGAAGTATATTCGTATCCTTTTCTATCTCATGCATCTCGTTCGCGAATTATTGTGCGTTAGCCTTTTCATGCTGATCGTTCTGTCTTTATCTAACGCATACAATGACGCATGAGTTGGAAAATGTTTAACAGACAACAGACCCAAAAGAAACTTTAAGGCCAGGTCCAAGTCGAGTCAGCTGTTCCTTTGAAGTTTCAATGGAACAGCTGACACGACTTGGACCTGGCCTTAACAATCTAATAATACATATCACAAGTTGAGAAACATAGCGCAACAATAAATATTCTAGAAAAAGTCGAATTAAAGTTAAAAAAAATTTTGTGCTGATATAAATGAATTTATAACACATCCGTGTTCCTTATATAGAATGTTTAAAAAAGACTATTGGATAGCCATAACTTTTATATAAATTAATCGGTTCATGCAGAAACAGGGTATAATTATTACACAAAAAAATTATCTAACAATCAATTGGGAACGGTGGTCTAGTAACAATCTAGTAACTTTGACCCATTCTCTCCCTCCATTTTGTTTTTTCAACTCTTTCTAACCTATTAGTTGAAGAGAGACAAAGAAAGAAAATGGAGGGAGAGAATGGGTCCCCACCAGATGGCGTATTGCAGTTTAGCCGATCCCAATAAAAGCTATTTTTTTTGTAAGTATAAAAATTTTTTTCAACTCTTATTTTTAATTACTTTTCTATTAACGCATATAAGTTTCAAAAATTTAGTTTTTTTATTTTTTATTCATGAAAATTTGAATTTAATGTGATGTTTATATTAAATTTTTTAATTAATATGTTTTTAGTAAAAAATATACTTGTGAATTATTTTTTGTGTTAATTTTTTAAAATGTTAATATTAAATATTAATTTTGCTATTTTAATTGCTATAGTGTAGTTTTAACTGATTTGTATTAAGGAGAATGGAGACCCTAACATAACCTTAAAATTGAAAAATAGTTTTGCAAACAAAGTTTTAATAAAAATTTGTATATATATATATATATATATATATATATATATAGTTGATGGGAATTTGTGAAACAAAGAAAAGGATTATAAATTGATTAGAAGTAAAACAAGATTTTCAATTTCTTATAAAGAGATAACATTTATTATAATAAGTATAAAAATAATTAAGCCAGTTTTTATTTATAAGAATAATATCTAACATATTTACAGTTATTATTTTAAATGACTTACATTTCTGGTAAATAAGATAGTGTGACGTAGATTTTAAAAGTTTTCATTAGACAAACTTGTACCCAGAACTCGGAAATCATGTGAGGAAAGATTTCCCAAAATTTTTTCAGTGACAAGAATTGGCACCTTAAGTGCCCCACAATGAAAAATAAAATCGGAACTTTTATTAACAAAAATCTCTAAACTTTTAACCCTTTCAAATTGCTTTCTTAACAAGTAATTATAACAAGGAAATTCATTTTTGAATTCCGAATTCGCTGTTTTGAAACTTAAAATTTTTCTCAATTTTGTATTATTGAAAATCTGAACAGTACTATAAAAATTCCTTGTTAAGAAATCAAAATAAGATATTGTTAATTCTTCCGAAATTTTTGTCATTTTCAATTTTGTAATTTCGCATTTACATTTGTCAAAATGATCGATAATTTTTTTCTGCATATCACAATCGTTTTCATCATAGAAACGCTGTATATTTTTAAGCGATTCATTTTTATACAAAGTTATATATGATATAAAAAGTTTATGTTTAGCTATTTCCCTAACCTCAACGTCAACAAATTTTTTATTCAAAATTGAGTAATCCGCACCTAGTTCCAATAAGTACTCGACAACATTAGGCGAAGAACAACGAAGTGCTTCATATAATCCACTTGAAAATTCAGCATTAACATTCGCTCCATTATCGACGAGGAATTCTAACATTTTCAGATTTAACGAACTGTTTAATGAAAATATAAATGGAGTATGATTGCGTTGATTTTTTGTTTCAATATCGACACCCTGTTCTAATAACAGTCTAACAATTTCAAAGGCATTTCCAATGCATGCATGATGTAAAGCCGAATTTCCTTGACTATCCACAGCTCGAACATTTGCACCAAATTCAAGAAGAAGTTTTACTTCTTCCAAACGATCACAACGACAAGCGTATAATAAGGGTAATTCTAGATAACGACTCTGAAATTCCGGATTAGCTCCGTTTTCTAGTAAGAGTTTCATTATTGTACGATTGATAGTTTTTTCGTCGAATGTTTTACAACTGCCGAACATATTAAGAAAAGTTTGATTAAGCCGTTTTTTGAGAACCTGTCCATAATTTGATCCACAAACCAGATGCAATGGATATCCGATATCAAACGACCCTGTATTACAATCGGCTCCGAAATTCAAGAGAAGCTCACAAATTTCTTCGTTTTGTAAAAATGCTGCAATGTGCAGTGGTGTTATTTGTTTTTGAATCTGGCAGTTCGGGTTTGCGCCGTTTTCTAAAAGAAAGAGCACAACTTCCGGAAGTTGAGCAATCACTGCTAAATGAAGAGGTGTTACATTATTTCTTCCTTTAGCATTCAATACGACCCTGCACTCGTTTAGAATTAATTGTAAAATATCGGTTCTTCCAATTTTCGCAACAAAGAAAATGAAAGGCACATAATCTTGTTCTTCTAGAAATAATTGGAACCTATTGCGCAAAAGAGAATTTATTAGATTTTCGGTATCTTGAAACTCGCAAAAATCTGATTGTAATCTTGTGGGTGAAATTACATTTTGTAACGAATATTCCGCGATTTTAATAAGACATTTACTTAATATAACTCCTACAATTTCTTCCGAACCAATTACTAAAGCATCCAAAAGTAAAGTATAATTATTTTTTTGAATTATTTCTGCATTATTTAAAAAAGCCCTAATCATTGAAGCAGAATGTTTTAAAGCATAAAAAATTGGAGTTTTTCCCTCTAGGTTCCTGGCGTGAACATCTGATCCAAGTTGCAATAATCGAATCGCAGCCTCTGGTGTTCCATCCTTAGCAACAATATGCAAAAATGTATCGTTGCTAAATTTGTCTCTCACAAGAGAATTTTTTTGCGTGATTAATTCATTGATGCGAGCTTCGTCATTTCTTTTGACTGCATTTTTAAATTGATTAGTAACGTCCCCAGCGAAAATCTGTTGAATCCTTCCAATACTCGCCATTTGCATTTGTCTACTTATTTCTCGAACGTTGTGCATCATGATTCAAAAGGTCTGCAAAGTTTTCTGAAAACGAAAAATATAAATTTCATTTTTTGCAAGTTATTAAAAAATACATTTTAAGTGTAAAGATTAAAACCAAAAGTTAGTGTGACTCCATAAATTTTCGTATTTTTAAATTAAAAAGCAATTTATAATAAAAAGTGTTTTAGTAAAAGAGGGGAGGAATGGGGATAGTTTTTGGATCAAAACTTTATTTTTTTAATTTTTTGTGACTATTTTACTATATATAGAACTTTTAGTACACGTACAAACACAACTCTTGGCATGATCAATTAATTAAACTTCAATACGATTATAGAAATTTTGCTTGTTTTTCGAAAATACTGATTTTTCAAAAAACGTGGGGAATTGTGCATATTTTTTAGAATATTCTTTATTCAAATGATGAAATGTGATAAGTAAGATAATTTACATAGAAGAATAAAGTAATAATAATAATTGAATTAGACTAGGTAATAAATGTTATTTGCAGTAAATACAGATGTAAAAAGTCTCATCTCACTATATAGAGAACAATATTTAAATTACATAAAACATTCAAATTATTATAATTAATGCGAAAAAAATAGAGTGCGTACTAGAATTAAAAACTTATAATAATTATGAATTATTCTTATGACATTTTACTCCAAATTCAAAATCAAAAAAAGTGCTGAACTTGAAAATTATTAAAATTTTTTTTTTTAAATTACCTCCCACTTTCAAAAAATTAAATTTTTTTAGAGTTCTGACTTTCTTTAACATAGTTCTAAATTTCCTGATAGTTTTTAGAAATAGTTCCGGGGGTTAATTGTTAACAAATCGATTTTTCATGATGTGGGGCTAACTTCACGCAGCCCTCCACTTTAAAAAAAATAAAAAAAATTTTAGAGTTCTGAATAGTTGTAACAGAGTTCTAGAGTTCTCTTTTTTTGAAAAATAGTTTTGTACATGTACAATCGAAAATTTTTTTTATTTTAAAAAATATTTATATTACGAGTTCTGCCAGTTCTGATATGTGTTCTGTTTACCCCTCACGAAGTTCTACAAAAAACAGTCCTAAATTTTTTTTTTAAACTTAAAATTAAACATTAAACATTTCTATTAAACAAAATTTTGATTTTGTAGAATTTTTATTTAACTATGAACTTAGATAAAGCAGATTTTCTAATATATAAAAGTTTCATATAACACAATTTCCATTTAACAAAATTGATATCTAGAAAAATTTTCATATAAAGAATTTTTATTTATCAGAATTGTTCTTTCGTCGAATTTCTATTTATCCGAATATTAACTTAAAAGTATTTTAATTAACAGAATTTCCAATAAAATAATTTCTATATAACAAAATTCACATTTAACAAAAATTTTATTCAAGAAATTCCTGTTCAATCTAATTTTTTTACATTCTCATCATAATGAGAAGGTATTTTTATAGAATTATCATTTAACAGTAATTCTTCTTAGCTAAATTTTTAAGACAGGGAATTTCTACTTCACAGTTACTTTATTTGACCAAAGTTTCACTTATCCGAATTTTTATTAGATAGAAATGTTAAACTGTCGAATTTTCATTTGATCGAACTTTTATATATCAGATTATCCACTTGGTATACAAATTTCAGCAGGAGTTTTAAAATCAACCAATCACAATTTTCTTAATAATTTTTGATTAGTTGATTTTAAAACTCCCGCTGAAATATGTATACCAAGTGGATAATCTGATATATAAAAGTTCGATCAAATGAAAATTCGACAGTTTAACATTTCTATCTAATAAAAATTCGGATAAGTGAAACTTTGGTCAAATAAAGTAACTGTGCAATAGAAATTCGCTGTCTTAAAAATTTAGCTAAGAAGAATTACTGTTAAATGATAATTCTATATAAATAAAAATTAGATGGAACAGGAATTTCTTGAATAAAACTTTTGTTAAATGTGAATTTTTTTATATAGAAATTATTTTAATTGGAAATTCTGTTAATTAAAATACTTTTAAGTTAATATTTGGATAAATAGAAGTTTTGACAAAAGAACAATTCTGATAAATAAAAATTCTTTTTTATGAAAATTTTTCTAGATATCAATTTTGTTAAATGGAAATTGTGTTATTTAAAAATTCTATATACTAGAAAATCTGCTTTATCTAAGTTCAGTTAAAAAGAAATTCTACAAAATCAAAATTTTGTTTAATAGAAATGTTTAATTATTAAAATTGGGCTCATTATAAAATCTCTTTTTTATAATTCTACTGAATGTAAATTCGATAATTTTTAATTTGACATTTCAAAAATTCAGTCAAGTCTAATGAAGGGTATATGCATGCGTCCCAAATTTATTATCATAGAAACTACAGTACTTTCAATAGACAACAATGAAAATATTTAAAAATTCAGTTATAACTGTTCTGATAGTAGTTCCATTTTCTCCCACTAAATTCTACAAAAAGTCCCTTAATGGGGGGCAAATAGGACTTCAATCATAACGTCTGGAACTCAATTTTGAAAGATTTTAATTTCTTTTTTGAAATTTTAAGGTCATGTAGTTTTTGTTATTTTAAGTTTAGAAAAAAATTTAAGATTGTTTTTTGTAGAACATAGTGGGGTTTAAACGGCACTCACACACTGAAGGACTTTTTGTTTCAAAAATTAATATAATTTGTTTCAAAATGAGGATAACTGTATTTTTGTACTATTTAGTCGTATGAACGTACTAGTTTCTAACCAAATAATACCAAAAATTAGTATGGACCATACTAATTTTTGGTATTATTTGGTATGGACCATACTAATTTTTGGTATTATTTGGTTAGAAACTAGTACGTTCATACGACTAAATAGTACAAAAATACAGTTATCCTCATTTTGAAACAAATTATATTAATTTTTGAAACAAAAAGTCTTTCAGTGCATCAGAACTTGTGCAACTCGTAACCCAGACAGCACAAAAACTTGCAACAACCTTGCAGCATTATAAAAATTCCAGTTTCCCAAGCTTGCGCGGCAAGCTTCCAACAAGATTGCCTCAAGTAACAAAATGTCCCACTTTAGCAAGCTTGCAATGAAAGGTTGCTGCAAGCTTTCAAAAAAATGTTGCCGCAATTTTGCAATGACAGATTGTTGCAACCTTGCAGTGAAAGCTTAATGTAGCTTGCAATAAAAGGTTCATATGTGCTTAAGACAAGCTTACAATATGCTTGCTGCAATTGTTACTTGAGGCAATCTTGCTTGTAATTGTAATTTTCATTAATTAATAATTACACCTTATAAAATGAAAATGAAACAAAAGTTGAAAAAAATTATTTGGATAATTGTTTCGTTTACTCTCTGAATCTGAATTAGTAAAAATGTTTACTAATTTAAATTAGTGACTCACTTTTTGCATATGAATTAGTAAAATTTTACTAATTATTAGTAACTTTTACTAACAATTAGTAAAATTTAAGAAAGATTCACTTTTTACTAATTCATAAGCAAAAATTGAGTCACTAATTTAAATTAGTAAACATTTTTACTAATTCAGATTTAGAGAGAAAAAAATGTCATAAAATGCTATAAATGTATTTTCACTAGTTTTAAAAAATTTTTAAATATGGCAACCAGGCCTGGCCCTGGTCGGGCCCATAGAAATTTACTAACCCGGGCCAGAACAGGAAATCGGATCGGGGCCAGGTCGGTAATCGGGATGAAAAATGTCATTTTCTGCACGTGACATAACCCACATAGCACGACTTCTTGCTGGGAGGTTACTGTAACGATATCTGTAGGGTTTGTAAGGTTACCGTGTAAGCCTGCAGTAAACTTGAGGTGATCTTAAAACTTCCGCCTTACAGTAAGCTTACACAGTAAAGCTAAGGTAAGCTTACACAGTAAGGTCGTGGTAAGTTTACATGGTAAGGTTGTGGTAAGCTTACACGGTAAGGTTGTTGTAAGCTTCCCGTAAGGTTACTGTAAGGTTGATGTAAGGTTACTGTAAACATAGAATGTTGTTAATAAATAAAATTTATTAATATTTATGCGCAGTAGTTTTCTATGGCACATACGGCTGCGCAGTAACTTTTATTTGACAAAGCCTATTGGGGTTCATAAAGTACTTTACCAAATATATAATTTTTTATACAAAAAAATTTATAATATAATATATAATATAATATAATTATTTTTAATATATTTTCATATTACTTTATATTAACAGTAACCTTACAGCAACCTTACAGTAACCTTACAGTAACCTTACAACAACCTTACCGTGTAAGCTTACCACAACCTTACCATGTAAACTTACCACGACCTTACTGTGTAAGCTTACCTTAGCTTTACTGTGTAAGCTTACTGTAAGGCGGAAGTTTTAAGATCACCTCAAGTTTACTGCAGGCTTACACGGTAACCTTACAAACCCTACAGATATCGTTACAGTAACCTCCCAGCAAGAAGTCGTGCTATGTGGGAAATATCATTTGACATAAAACTCATTTCACTTGAATTTAAATTAACATAATTGTACATTGACATAAAATTTATTTAACATAATATATAGTCACTTGTCATAAATTCCATTTGACATAAGTTTTATTTGATATAAATTTCATTTGACATAAAATTCATTTAATATAAATCTCATTTGTCATAAAAATGCGCATTGGCTATCCTTGTCTTACATATAAGCAACTTTTATGCCAAATAAATTTTATATCAAATAAGTTTTCCCAAGTAGCACGGTATATCACTCGAATATCATGGTGATATCCAGCGGGAATATTCCTGTGACATGCAGATGATATCAAAATATTCATGGTGATATCACACGGTGATATTCCTGTGACATTCGTGCGATATCACACGGTGATATCACTGTGACATTCGTGTGATATTGAGGGAATATTCCCTCAATATCACACGAATATTCCCAGTTCATCAATTTTTTCAAATTTTTATATTTTTTTCTTTTAATTACTTTAATTATACTAATTATATTAATTAACGTAATTAAAAGAAAAAAATAAAAAAAATATGAAAAAATTG